GACCTGTACTCAGGCCTCCTTCAGCATGAGTGACAAACATTATGTAAGTTGGCTGTTACAAAAATCTTGATATAATATAAAGAATAAATTGAGAGAATAAAGAGTGTAATCAACATATGCGACAATGGATCTTATATCTGTGAAACTGGTACCAAATTCAGACTCGGATACAACAACCACAAACAATCCATACGCAAGCACAACCATTCTATAGATAACATGCGCTGCACCTTCATTGCTAGTAATTTTACATCCCTCAACAATAGATGCATTTCAGAACTCCAACTCCTACTTAAACACAAAACTCATATATTCGGTCTTAACAAGGACCTTGGTATACTTAGTGACTACAATTTCCCTCATTCTTAATTCATTTAGTTTTTCATATCCCTTCAGTTACATCTATATTTTTATTTATAGGCTTATTATATATTATATATATTATGATATATTATGTTTATATCACATTTTTATATAACATTTTTATAATATATATATATATATATCTGTATATACATTTTTTTACTGTATATTTTTCATTTCCGTATTTTTACCTCTGTTTTAAACTGTTCTTAATCATTACTTTAGTACCGTTTAAGCTTAATTTTTGTTTATCCCCTTACTTAGAATTGTTGACTGGGGTCCACGTTCCCACACAATCAGCTTCATTACTATTATACCTCCAAATTAGTTTATTCCTTATTTACTCCGCCTCCTAGCATTTTTTATCACCATGTGCATTATACTTTAGACCAATCAATTTATTCTTTATATTATATCAAGATTTTTGTAGCAGCCAACTTACATGATGTTTGTCACTCATGCTGAAGAAGGCCTGAGGACAGGCTGACATATTCATGTGAATAATAAATTTAGTGTTTCAAGTCTACCAAGTCAATCTTATTGTCTTTACTTTTGAGTTGCATTTCGACGAAACACACATGGACTTATTATTATGCTTTATATATATGATTTTTTTATTTATTACAGAGGGCAACGCCTAAACTTTTATGTTTCCAGTACGCTTCCAAAAACCTTCATGCACTGCTTTATACCGCTTTATTTTTTACAGTGGCTGGCCGTAAAAAAAAACAAAAAAAAGATGGTTGGCGGCCGCACCCAGGATTTTTTATTCATTTTCGCAGGCCGCAAAAAAATAGTGGCCACATGCGGCCAGCGGGTCCACCTGTGTATGTATACCTCAAACTGAGTGAATTAAGACATTCTTGCTCACATCATGCCGACACCTGACAACAGTAAAAACAAACACATTGGTAGTTTCTGCACTATTGCCACTATTTATTAGTCTCATCTACAATAAATGATCAATTTATCAGTTTGGATTTAACATTAACCGATCACATTGAAACAAATACCAACTAATCAGACTGAAGAAGTTGGAAACCAGTTACAGAAATGACATCACCACTAAGAAAACCCATCATCACATTGTTACAATCTTTTAGGCACTTCTCTAGACTTGGCTATTTGAATATAGGTTCAATAGAATGTGTAAATAAAATCTATTAATGATAAATTTAGCATTTGAGCAATAGATCTGAATCTAAAAAAAAATTCTTACATAAACTTTGGTAGATTTAAGAACAAACGTGCATTTGATTTTGGTATAAAAACTGCATGTAAAGAAACATTTAGAGTGCATATTTCATATCAATGAATTCTGGATGGATTGTCAACATAGTACTACAGTTACTTTTGTCCAAAATATTACAAAGGTGGTAGATTTCTTACAAGACAAAGGCTATGCAGTACATTATCTACTAATGCTTCATAAAAAAAAAAAAAAACATAAAAAACTAACATAGAAACTATGGTCACAAAGCATTGAGTTCTAAAACTGCAGCATCTAAGTACTAAGCCACCACAATGCAATATGAAAAGAAGAAAATAACAGAACAGTACTTGCTGATAAATGATAATGAATACAGCAAAACTTTCATTATTTCTAGTTTCTTTTAAATTGTTTATGCTGGTTGGCTACATTGATATTATATAATTGTAATATTTAACACATGTTTATAAGTGGATTGGATTGAACTCTATATTCAGCTATGTTTAAAGCAGTTCTGTGTAGGTATATGGATGTGCTACAGTGTTTCAATAATATTCATATCTGTCTCTTATACACATCTAGATGTGTATAAGAGACAGATTCAAGGATTAAATTTTAAAAATTAATAATCACTAGAACATAATTAAATCATTACTTTACTTATTAGGAAAGAGCATAAAACATTGCAATTTGGCATAATCATTTAATAAACCAACAAACAACAAGCAATACAACATGTATCATTATTAAGTAATTGGAGTAAAGAAATAACACAAACTAATGAGAAAAATCAGAGTCATAAGAATACTAAAGTAACTAAATATTCACAATAAAATCTGCATAAGGTAAGTCTTTGAGTATGCTGCAAAAAGCAGAGTGCCACTATGCAACAAATAACTCATCGTACACCAATCTAAATGAGTGGTGAAAGAGGCTGGTAGGCCTGATGAGGCCCTCTATTAACCCCTCTTGACTTCTTACTTTTCAAACCTCTTTACTTCAATATTGGGTGGAATTGATAGAAAAATGTCATGCATCAAATATTTGTAAATCAAATATTTGAATGTGGCCTTTTGTATTCTTATGGGAATACATGAGCCTTTTGGAACCTTAAACATTCTAATTGCCTTTTTGACATTCAGTTTCAATTTTTTCAAAGGTAGCATATCTTGTTTTAAATCTTAAATGAATTGGTGTTAGCTCTCTAGTATTCCTATAGTAACTCTATGTAAACACAAAATCAAACAGCGAATTACATTCAACATTATGTGTACAAGCCAAATAATAACCATGTTTACTGCAAATCTATTATAATCTACTTATTATACTTATATCTAATTTCCAATGTCCTTAATTTACACACACTAAAAAACCTACCATCTAAAAATTGTACTATTTTTACAATTCACTTTGTGTTCCAAAAATACAAGATCATGACTTAAAAAATTCCTTAATCAAAACAATTAAAATGTCCAATTATCATGAGAAAGATAATAAATTATAGATATTTTGATAAAAATAAAAATCAGTTTATGCCAGTTTAAGTAACCACTAAACTGAATTTGGTATTTGAATTGAAAGTAGACATATTTAAAAAAATATTCAAAATTCTCAGCACGCCCCTAATACCTATTTTAGAATTGAATATAAAAGCTATCATTATCATATTTAGTATAAATAATAGACATTCTGGAGGCATGTTTTCACACAGCTAGTAAAAATCAATATTAAAATTAGGTACTGAAATTTGATTGTAGCATTTAAGGTTCTATGTATCTTACGGGAATCAATTTATTGTGCTTAACTAAAATATTCCTGCTTTCTTTTTCAAATTGGCTTGCTTCCACTTTGGAATAGCCTTGAATTTCTCATACTCCATTCCAAAATGAGTCTTAAAATCCTCTTCTGACAAATAAAGCTATAAAGAAAAAAATATTACAATTGTATAAATATTTACATAAGCTCACATTTTTGTAATTACTTATTATATTCCAGACAAAGATGCTTGTAGCCACTTATAGAGATGGAAAAAAACTAGGATAATTATATTTTAAACACTATATATTGTCGTAAAATCAAGGTAATGATTATGTGTTTTATGAGTTACCTCTTTCTTTGTTGGGTCAACACCATCTGGCAATTCATCCAGTTTCAGTTGAGCTAATGAATAATTAGGCAATGTACTTGGGTCATCTTCCACTGCTGGTACTTTGAAGTCAGCCTAGAGGTTAAGAACAACGTCAGACAATATCAACTCTTCTTTAGAGGATTTTACTGGTTAGCAGTCTTCACAAATTAATTTGCATAATCAGATATTAAAAATTGTATTACGTTATTATTATTATTAATATTATGCAACCCAGAGTTAACTATTTTCTTTTTTCATTACTTATTATATACTTTTATTAATACTTTTGTAATGTATACACAGTCACCGTAATATTGCCATACTCATTACCAAATCAACTAAAATTGTTAATCATCATGACCGAAGACAAACTTGCATTAAAAATCACCCCAATCAAATATTAAGCAATTACCAAAAATAATTAATCAAACTACATAGAAAAACATTGCATCTACTGGAGCGGATACAGGATTTGGCGGTAGGGGGCCTGGAAATGCACACCACCTCAGCCCCATTATGGTTGGGGATGAGGTGTGACCAGCCCCATTATGGTTGGGGATGAGGTGTGACCAGCCCCATTATGGTTGGGGATGAGGTGTGACCAGCCCCATTATGGTTGGGGATGAGGTGTGATCAGCCCCATTATGGTTGGGGATGAGGTGTGATCAGCCCCATTATGGTTGGGGATGAGGTGTGATCAGCCCCATTATGGTTGGGGATGAGGTGTGACCAGCCCCATTATGGTTGGATATGAGGTGTGACCATTTTGAGAATTTGGACCTTAAGGTGCCTGGAAATTGCACTCATGCTTTTTAAGTCTTACCAGTACAGTACTATATTTTTATTGATAAAAGTAATATGTCAACAATACAATACAACAATTATTTTTCTTAATACAATTTAGGGGGTGCGATCACACTGTTCCATCCCCCTGCATCCGCCCCAGATCTATGAAAAGCACATTATTCTTAGAAACTATAAGAGTGTAATATAGATAAATACTCTGATATTAGAAAAAGCTTCAGGTAACCAATCCAAGAATGTTTTGTTTAGTAACTTCGACACATTTTCTAAATATCAGAAATTAGATAACCTTAGTCTTTGAATTTTTTTTGGGCATATTTTGCTGTGTTCTTATTAGAAGGATGGGACTCAAATATTACATACAACTGAAAATAAGTGCATGCAATTAATACAAGTCACCAACCATATTTTAACGAACAAATTCATCTGGTTCCAATGTGATAATTAAAGAGAAATATTATTCATTTTGTTTTGTTGAAATGTAGAAAGGTAATTTTGTGTGTGAAAACTAGTGGGTAGGCATTATACAGAATGGGCTAATACCTGAGGAAATAGTAATGGTAGAATACACAACAAAATTCAAGATTTAGCAAAACCCACAATTATTGTAATGTAATTATTAATTTTTTTTAAACAATATTTTTAAAAGTGTCCAAATTAATTTAATGGGAAATATGATAATGATGATTCCACAGCAATCAAATGAAACATGCAATTCAAAAGCCATTAAACAAACAATAAAATGTTGACAGCAAAATCCAAATTAAAGAATTTGGTACTAAACAGGATGTGCTCGGCCTTTAACATACATTCTAGCGCATGGTTCAATTTACATAGAGGGCTAGCAAATACAGAGGGTCCTTCAGTTTTATAATTTGGAAATTGCTGAAAATTAATAAATTTAGCCTGGCTGCTGTCCTCAGAATAGTAACACCAGTAAGCAAATACTGTACACTTACTTCCCCAGACCAAGATTGAAAGAAATACTCAGTAGGCGAATACAACCAGCAGTGGCTCCAGAAATTTGCCGTCAGCAAGGGGCCTCGGCCAGGGACCCAGAATCAAAAATCCATGGTAGCTCACAGGGGCAGTTTTTATGGCTTAGTATGTCCAAATTGTGCTTTTAGACAAAATAACATTATTTGGATAGGCAAGTTATTATTTTTGATTCAACGAAATCAAGGTGGAGGGAAATCCAGGCCTGGATAGCAGGGGAGGGCGATGCCCCTGCCCCCTCTGGCACCACCACTGAATACACCTACTTCCACACCCCTAAACCAAGATTGAAATCCACCACTCACTAATTATGAAATGATCAATAATGAAATGAAAGGATACAGATGACTCATGATACAACATTCCATTCACACACACACACACACACACACATGTATAGCATACCTCAGTCTGAACAATATCAGCAAGACAGCATACAATGAATCATATGGTTGGAATGAAGCAAATAAGAATTGATAACATACAAGTTAATATGACCTCATGTTATGGAAATAATAAAAAACATTGATAAAAATTATAGTTTAACATTCTCAAATATTATTCAAATTAAGATTAATCAACTTCAAAAGTGCCAATATTATAATCCATAGTAATCAGACTAAGCACTATAAAAACATTAAGAAATAATATTAATTCTGTACTTAAATGGAAGTAATCCCATAAGGCAAAATTAGAAACGCACAATGCAATATAGTACATAAGCAATTTTATTGAAATATGTTAATATTTATGGTTAAATTAAGAAAAACCTAAAAAAGAAAATTAAATCATCGAATTGCTCAATCAAATAAGTTATCAACTACCAATGACATATATAGATTGAAACATTTTTACACTTTTTAAGTTAATTTAGAAAAAGCAGAATTCAATTACTGGTTTATATTTATGTTTGTTCAGTATATCTTCAATAGTAAAGAGCCACAAGTTTCTAGAAAATGTAATGTTTACCTTGCACATGACAACAAAGTATGAATGATACAACAACTAAATGAAAGATACTACAGCCGGACACACGTTTATTTGCGGACAATCGGCTGATCTTAGGCAAACAAATCCACCTCTGCTCAATGTTAGCGTTTGAAGATGTAATGATATTTGCTGACTGGCATTATGAGCATATCATTGGCCATGCCTTGTTGGGTTGTTGTCTCTAAGGAATTATGTCGGCCGACAGTACGCACTGTGTGCCCGGCTTCACATACATCAAACGTCATTATTGAAATGTTATCACCACGCTGATGAAAACACAATTTTTGGGGATGAATGTTTACTTGCTTTTATTTATACAGTTCACCCTCCAATTTGAGACTCCTTAAATCCAAGACCACTCTAATTCAAGACTCACTTTTATAAGTACCAACTATAATTTTCAATCTTTTAACACAAAGTTTACCCTGTAATTGAAAACTGAAAAACCCAAGACACATCCCCCTCCCCAAATATTCAGATCTTAAATGTGGCCTCAAATTGGAGCGTGAACTGTACTTAAATATTCATCAAATAGGATAGTATTATCCCAAAGGAAGAATGCTTTGTAATATTATTAAGCAAACAAAAAATTTACATCAAAACTTACAAGTTTGGTGATAGTAATTCCGGAATTTTCTTTATTCAGCTGGTTAACCTTTTCATCAAGTGACATTGACCCCTGGTTGAGAAATAAATAAATTATGAAAAGCCAATATCATAGAGAAAATAAAGAGAAAATTTAAGCTCAATTAACCAACTTCTTGCCGCTATTTTTGTCTTTTATTTACTTACAGTTATTAAAATAGTTTTTACATTAGATAATAAATAATTAAAAAATTCTTGGTGTTGCCTACATCAAACATGTTATCATCCCAGGCCATGAAGTGTCCAGTGAAGTTGATTGGTTCGTATCCTTGCTTGACTGTGATAAGTAAAACTGAGTCGTCTTTACGTCCACTTGGGTCAGTCTGTATGTACTCTTTGGCTGTCTTCATTACTTCTTTCTTCTCTGTTTCATTCGCTCCTTTCCCAATCCATATAAAAAGCTGTAAAAATAATGTAGATGTTAAATTCATATTCTTATATTATGAAAATTATTACCATTATCTTTAATATTATGATTAACACTACAATCCTCATTACTGCCACAAACATCATTAATACAAATATGACCATCATCCTTATCATAATCATCATATTTTCCACAGCCATTACTATGACAACCACCAAAATCCTTCATGTCACTATCATCATCATCAGTATCATCACATTCATTTTATTTTTTCATTCATTTGCATAACAAACACTCAGAAGGCAACAAAGAAATGTTGAAAATTATCTGAATTCACAATACAAACAGAAGACAAATACAAGACATACAAAAAACGGAATAAACTTATGCCTAAATTAAAGCATCAACATTTGAAGATGATAAAAATGACCTACAAAACATTAAAAAATAAAATACATAACACTAAATTTATTACAGGCAAGCCAATTCAATCTATGAACAATATCATTAAAAAACAAAAAATACAAAAATATACATTATTATAAAAATATACTTACCTATCAAAATACATTAAATTAACAGCAACAATCCTAATATTCATCATAACTATCTTCTTCATCATCATCATTATCACCACTGCTACTACTATCCTCTTCATCACTATCATACTCATCACAATTATCATTAAAATCATCATCATCGCAACCACCACTATTCTCTTCATCACCATAATACTCATCACTATTATTATCACTACAACCATTAGCAGCCTCTTCATCACTATCATACATATCACTATATTCAACATCATCATCATCATTGGAATTATCCTTCTTAAGGCCTGTTTATACTTCAACGATAACGATAATGATAAAAAAGCTAAAAAGCGATTGTTCATATAAAGAAATAAGAGAAGTTTTTACACTAGGACGATTCGATAACGATTTATCGTGTATATGATAACAAAATATCTTAACAAATCAAATCAGATGACATCATATTCATGGAAAAACGATAAAATCGTTGCTACTACTATGATTTTAATGTTTTTCCATGATTATGATGTCATCTGATTTGATTTGTCAAAATATGTTGTTATCGCATAACTGATAAATCGTTATCAAATCGTCCTAGTGTAAAAACTTCTCTTATTTCTTTTATTTTCTATATGAACAATTGCTTTTTAGCTTTTTTATCGTTATCATTATCGTTGAACTATAAACAGGCCTTTATCTTCTGCTATGTGCAGTTGCAATACTTTGTCTTTTTTCTCAGCTTATCAGTATCAGTTTTAATTTTATATTATACTATAAATTATATTTGTATTAATGTACTTTTCCTGAATTACAAGTTTGTACAAATGTATTTCATATGGCTTGCCTTATGGCAATAAATGATATCTGAATCTGAATCCCTATCCTCTTTATCACTATCATCCGTGCTGGCATGGTATTCAAATTTCACTTCTTTTTATTTTGTGGTTTTTGGTTTCCGTTCCATCTTTACACTTGCCTGATAGCGCTTAGAGACTTTTTGTATTTTGCGCTCTATAAATTAAAAACCATTAACCATTAACCATTTGTCAAAATATGTTGTTATCGCATAACTGATAAATCGTTATCAAATCGTCCTAGTGTAAAAACTTCTCTTATTTCTTTTATTTTCTATATGAACAATTGCTTTTTAGCTTTTTTATCGTTGAACTATAAACAGGCCTTTATCTTCTGCTATGTGCAGTTGCAATACTTTGTCTTTTTTCTCAGCTTATCAGTATCAGTTTTAATTTTATATTATACTATAAATTATATTTATATTAATGTACTTTTCCTGAATTACAAGTTTGTACAAATGTATTTCATATGGCTTGCCTTATGGCAATAAATGATATCTGAATCTGAATCCCTATCCTCTTTATCACTATCATCCTCACCTACACCCCATCACCAGTGACTACCATCCATCACTTTTCTTCCTCCATCATCATTAGTCTACCACCACCATTGTCATCTTAATCACTGCACTATCACTACATCTTTCTCAAAAAAATGTATTCCTAAATTAAAAAGGACATGTTAACCTCATCATATGTGTCCAACATCATCACATCATCTTCAATTAAATCATCTTGAACAAAGTTGTGAATCTCCTCAACGGTGAAGTTTCCTGAAGCATTTGAGCACTGGAAAAGTCTAGCTGGGTGGGTTGGGATTTCATCCTATATGAAGAGAAATGACATGTGAGTGGTCAAAACACTGGTGTCTATTTTAAATATCTGACAACACAAACTAAGAAAATGTTGATGATGATGATGATAATGATGGTGATGATATTTGTGATAATGGTAATGATGATGATGACAATGGTGATGATGATGACACAATATATCATGCCATTATACTTTGTATAGGTCTATATTTATTGCTTAATGCAGGTATGGTGTAAAGGGTTCAAATCATTATCCATGTTTATTTATATTTTATTTATTCTGCCTTTAACATGATAACACTTTCAGTGATGCAGTTATGATCTCACTAGTGATCATATGAACAAGAAATGAAAATCAGAAAATGAAAATTACCATTAAAAAATATATAAATATACAGAAACATAAACTTAAATATAAATAAAAGAATAGATGGAGCACTGTCTGTAAACATATTACAAAACTAAAAATACAGTATAGCACTTATATAGCAGGTTGGTAAAATAAAACTATATTTAGTATTTTTAAAAAAAAATTACTGTACTTCATTCAATAACTTACTCCAAATACTTTGTCTGATGCATAAGTGCTCTTGCCGCCAAGGATGGTCCAGAGGTCAGATGGTTCTTGTCCTTCTGGTACCATTGTAAAGTCACCACTAAAATTTTAAAAAAGAAATAAAAAAAGGATAAATTAAACAATTAAAATAATTAATACATAAACAACAATTTAAATCAACTATATTATTTATACTAAATATCTTTAGCTTTTTAATCAATCACCACTAAAAAAAGTGTATTAAGCATAGTTAATATATGAGAAACTTAAATTATCTATATTTTAAGTTTGAATAATTTTCTTACACTGGAGAAATAGTTTTTGCAATATTTTTAGACAACTGTCGCTCATCACCACTGCCTCCCTGAAAAAAAATAAAAATTATTTTTTTATGAAATGAGTAATAAAATTATTTACCAATAAACTGCATTATACACAGTACTGAGTAGAAAGACATGCTTCTGAAATATGAAGGGTGCACCAGCTTGGTACGGCACCAGCACAGTTATTAACATGATTTATCTTATTTTATGTATAAATCAAACTAAGCTGAATTCTATAACATCAACATATTTTTTAAATTTTATAAAGTATATAAAATTAAATACACATGAAAACGAAAGTCAATGTAGACCTCAAAAAATGTCAGCAAGTTATCTGAAATCACAATGAACCTGTATGACAGTGCACAGCTGCTCAAAACAACAAAGTCACAAGGGTTCTTATACATCCTTAACAATGTGGCAGAGAAGAGCCGGTGTGAATGCATTGAATGCACTTGGAAAAGAATAAGGTGTCACCACATACTTCAGCAAACCATTGGGAGACTTGCACATCCTTTAACAATGCGGCAGAGGTATGTGCTATTGAACAGCTGGTCTGAATACATCCAAGGACTCTTAAAAGTCATGAGAAAGCACTTGGACAAGAATTAGGTGTAAACACTTACCTTACCACACCACAGGAAGACTTGCTTTTTGTTCTGAATGACAAAAATGTCATTGGAGTTGAGAGAGGAAGCCTTTGCTGGTACCTGAAGAGAGAAATACCAAGTGGTCTCTTGGTTACATTATGGATACACAGATGCATAGAACTTTAACCTTTGATCCTTTGTTCAGTTTAAAGCCTTGATTTAAAGGTAAGCATAAATACGCATAACATGTACTAGAAACAAAATAACTATGTATTTTTTAATGTTCATGTTTTTTTAATATAAGTTTTACAGAAACCAAAACTCATCATAACCAGCAACTGATGACTAACTAACGAGATACTTTAAGACTTACCTCTACGGCTCTTGTGTTGAATTCATTGGTTCCTTTAACTTGGAATACTCTACAACCACCAGTGTAACTTTTGTCTTTTTCTGAAGAATTTTTGAATCCACTAGCTTTGCCACCCTTTAAATAAAAAACCAAAGAAATAAATTGGCTACAATTGTTAGAGATTAAAGGTCTCTTTAAAAATTACTAAATCATTCAATTGTCATGAGCTAAAAAAATAGTTCATTTTAGGTAAATATAAAAATGAAATAGACTATTATTTTACAATTGGGTATATTTAACCCTTTTAAAAACAATGGTTAAAGCTAAGAAAAATAAGCCTACAGTCAATATTCATGCATATATACAAAAAATACATATACTGTATATACATTATTTTTTTGGTGGTGGTAAGTACCATACATATACTGTATATACATTATTTTTTTGGTGGTGGTAAGTACCTATTTCATGCTGTAGCAAACATAATTATTGACATTTAATTATATGATATAATAGTAAATCCAATATCTAAAACTGGAGTAAAGTTGGATTATAGGCTGTACAAGTGAATTGCAATTAAGTTTTAATATATTCTTATAATAATAATATAAACTTCGGCAGCGGCTATTGTTACCACAGTAATTCTGATTGGATGTTATCATGGACTGGTGTAACAATAGCCACTGCCTTAAATTAATGGTTGACTATTTTGGAGCAACGTAGCTGAAATGCACATTCATTAGTTACAATATAAAAATGCATAGGCCTATAAAGTAAAGCACCCACTGTGCCTGATGGTCGTCAGCTGATGTGATTCTATAAAGAACGCAATGCTTTGATGCACGCGCAACAGATCGTATTTGATGACGGTCCGTTTAAACTGTCACCGACAATCACATTGGGTGTTGCTTCGTCTAGCACTAACATGAAGTGAAGATGGATTGTACCACTGTCCTACGACAAAATGAATGCCCAGCTTTCGTAGAGACAATGGTAAAGAAATTTACTGACTAATAAACAATAATTCAAAATAAATAGGACTAAATTTTGTTCTGGCCATATTTTTGGAATGGTCAGTCTTGTCATAAAACTGCGACGGTTTCTTTCCCCACTCTGATCTATTATTATTATCTATAGTTTTAGTGTACTCTCTCTCTATCTCTCGTTCTGTGATTTTTTAGGACTTGTGCTGGTTAATTTGATTTAAAATTGATTGGTAACAAAGATTATTTCACCATGTATGATCCAGCTGTTGCTAAGATATTCAGGATTTCCCACATTTTAATCATGAGTTAAATGGTTCCAGTTGTCTACACTTCGCTATCACTGTCAAATAAAAGCACTGGATGGGCTGATTTTGTACTTGTGTCTATATGCACTTTCAAACAATTATAAAGTGTTAACTTCATTAATATCTTTTGGAATAACATGTGCAGACAATCCTATTTAACTACATCCCATCTCAACCTCATTAAATTGATGCAGAAGATGGTACTGTAATTCAATTTCACATCCCCTTGTGTTAAAGCATCAGTGTCCTATTATAGGTTTAATCCATCCTAACACTGACATTATTCTGGGTGAACTTGTCCTAAGAATGTATGTGCAAATACATACCGGTATGTATGATATGTTATTATATGATATTAATACTTTATAGTTAGCAGACATATAATTAGATACACTGACAATGGCTTTGCATGCAATGTTTATATTACATGCTGAAATCCCATTAAATAATTATTAATAAACAAACCTAATCAAAATAATTTAAAAAAAACTTTCTTGACTAAAAGTTAGTTGATAAACAGATTTAATACTATTTACCTGTAAATTCCTATCTTCTCTAAAGTATTCGGCAGCACAATCAAATTTATAGACAATTCAAATGTTATTATTTTTAAAATTCTAAATATTGTACAGTGAACATATTTTGCATGCTTTTATCCATATAGCTACCATGCTTTTATGTATCTAGGCATATATACTTAAACACTGACTATCCATTAGTCCACCTTGAAAGATAACAAACTCTTTTTCTAAATCACTCCAAACATTTCTTTGTGAAAACACTTGAGTTAGAAGCACATTGTACCCCAACAGGAATCATTAGTGGTGTCTGGGGAAGGGGTTACATGAAGGGGTTACACGGGCAAATACCTTATGTATGATAAGTTTACCCTTGAATAGACTAGAGAAATGTGGAGGTTCTTTACCCATCACGCAGCGAACCTACAGAAAAAAAAAGGTTCAAGCAAGAGGTGAACAATGAGTAAATGCTCTGCAAATCTGTACTTGGTAAGTAGGGACTCTGTGTTGCTATGAACAATTTAAACCGTCATAAATATGTTAATGCACATACCATTGTGATGGTCCATACATACGTTTTAATATGCAACTTGACAATTTAAAATGATTCAAGTTTCATGCGAAAATGCGAAATTTACAGCATTTCAGAATTTAGCGCTCTAAAACCACATACAGAATCCCTGATTGCCAGTACAGAGGGCAGCAGACAAAAATTGGTATCCATCTTACCTTATGAATAATTAACTTGCCTTTGAAGATTTGCAAGAAGTGGTTAGGTTCTTTACCTTGAACCACACGAATCTAAACACAATGATATACAACCATACATGGCAGAGAAAGCATATATCATTAATAAATGTTATGCAAAATATAACACTATAATCTATAAATATTAATTATTATTAAAATATTCAAATTTAATCCTATTTTCTTTTTAGTTAGTAAATAGTCTATAAGACAAAATATCAATTGTGTTTGGTTTTATATTAAATCTATATAAATGTATTGTGTTAATTCCCATCAAAAATTACATAATAAAACAAAAATGTATTTATAATACTATCAGAATCTAATGTAATAAGTACAATTATTAGTTTATTACAAAATTTAAATTGAACTCTGGCAAAAGTGTTTAGCATCAATCTTTTTATTTATCAATTTTCATTATCTTCAATTATCTGTTTATAATCCATATATTTATCCATTTACCTGAACTGGTGCTCCACCATATTTGTCATCCATTTCCGTCGCTTTTAGAGCTGCTGTTCCCATTTCATCTTTTGATGACTCACGGCCCTAAATTCCAAAAATTAATGTAAAATAATTTTACACCTCCTTGTAGCTTTGATTACCTCTACTCAATAAAGATTATAAAATATCTTAATGATTGAAATGAAATATTACCAGCCAATAATAGATGATGTATTGTTCTCGCCCTCGTTGACGGTACGTGTACAAGATTACGTAAGAATCCCCACCAAAGAATTGGCCGTACAACTGCTTTTCCAGTGGATGAAGATCAAAGTTTTCAACACGCCAGATCTGAAAATATTTGTTAAAGTTAAATATAAAAAGTCAATCATCAGTAAGAACATATTTTTTTTCTATTCTTTTGGTAAGCCTCCTCATACTCTATATACCAAACTACAACTTTTTTTTCTTACCTCAATTTTTCCATCACCAGCATCAAACATCTTTAGTTGAGCAGCCATTGCAGGGTCAGATTCAAGGTCAGAGGTTTTGACCTGGTGGAGTGTACTTGCGTCAAATTTCTTTTGCTGTACTCGAGCTAGTAAAAAAAAAAATTTACAATTGATTTCTATCAATGTGTCCCTTAATTTCGAAATAAAAAAAAATTAACAAACTGTTATAAAAAAGTAAGAGAAACATACCAATGCCTCGTCCAACACTGTATGTCTTTCCTGGACCTGTGACATCTCCTTTGTCCCTCCAGTTCTTGAAGATTGCCTTAAACTGAGCAGGCTCCCCGTTCTCTATCACCGTGGTAACCGGTGTGTGAGATGGGTATTTCTTAGCCTTGATAAAACCCTATATTGTTACCATGGAAATTGGGAAAAACTTCAAAATCAGTCATCATTATCAATTAGTATCACATAAATATATAACCAATATTTTCAAAAATATACTGAAAATGTAAAACAGACTTGAACACCACTGCAAGCAAAACAAACAAAAAATAAAAAGAAAAATTACCGATTTGAAATCTGGAAAAGACTTTCATTAAAGTTACAATACAACTGATAAAACAATTTAAAAAAGAAAGTTTGTTGAAGATATACTGCCATCATAATGTTATGAGAAAATTTTTTCCACTCCAATTTTCACATGTTTCAATTTTCTATAGTTTACTTGATTTAGAGATTTTTGTACTAAAGCTTCTGTAAATCATTGAAAAGAATTTCTTTTTTGATCTGCCTCTCAGGTGAATTTGTTAACTTAATTGAATCTGTTTTAAACAAAGCAATTCAAAATATTATTTGAACTTTTGAGGATATTTCTTGGGTGGCAGTATGTCCTAAACATGTCCTTAAAAGTGAAACTCAAATCTCAACTTAACTGGCTTATTTACTCCACTAGTAACATACTTAGTTTTATCCTCATTTATTCTTAAATCTATTACACAATTAAATAATACCATGGAATAACAGCTTTCTGACCATACACTGAATTGTTATTTCATACCTTGAATATATTAAATACCGAAGAAATAAATCATTTGCAATAATATTTATTCCTAATTATATACAGTATCTATTCTTATACATAACTAATTACATACCATTTCCGGTAAATGGACTTTCAACATGTCAATCCTACCAACATAATCAACAAAATCTTACCTCTTCAAGATACAAACCATTGCAAAGTGGAAGGACCAAAGGTCATGGTTCAGGACCAAATATCATGTCTTTTCAAAATTTCTTCAATAATTCCACCAAAAAGGAGAATTATGAAACCGCATTGGAAAAAGTACAGCAGAAAGACAATGATAATAAAGAGCAATCATTTTAGAAAAGGAAAAGAGAGATAATATAGTAAGCAAAGATAAGTATAGAATTTTGTGAATATATAAATTATAATTGAGTTGTCTTGATAGAAATAATACTTGGAAGAATAAAAAATAAAGATAAATATTGATTACTACTGAAAGTAATGATTGTGAATAGTGGACATATTTTGAAAAATTGTGGTATTGGGAAAAAGGGTCTGTATTGATCCAAAGCAATTTCAAAATTGATCCTGTTACATTCAGTTTATTGCACAATAGGGTTATAATAAAATAATAATAAAGATAATAAATTATTCCTGTAAAGCCCTGCAGTGAGGTGTGACATCAATATTTTAGTATATAGTAAATGCAATATACATGCAAAGTATTATTATTGTTACTGTAATTTATAACACTATTATCATTATCATTCTTATGCTTGGTTGCTGTTAAACTTCATATTATTATGTGAAACATAATTCATTTTCTGTTAAGTATGTTAATAATATTATATAATAACCCCACTACCCAGAATGAGTATTATATATCAGTTAAATTTCAGACAAATGTGTAACCTAAATATAATGTACTTGCCTAAACATATTTAAATATGTAGATTTGTATTTATTTGGAATGTTATTATTACTGATGGATTAAATGGTTGAGATATGAAAGAATAACAAAACAGAAGGATCAAATATTGGAAGATGGAATAAAGTAGAAAAAAAGCTTAATTAAAAGACAATTTTATGAAATTCAGAAGGCTGCCAGTGATATGCAGGTATGACTGGCCATGTGACACACATACTAGGCACGCAGGCACAATATGCAGCATTCATAAGGGTAAGACCTCTTGGCTGCCTCCTTAACGTAGCCTTTGACTTTCTACATTTTTGTGGCTGAATTCATAATTCATGTTAACTGCCTGCTTAACCAAATAGCATAGTATCCCTTCACACTAAGTTTTGTTACTATCTGTTGTTGGTTAAAATGCAATTGCTTGGCAAGTAGGCTAGAGCAGTAATGGATTCAGAGGTGGACACGAGCATGTACCAATTGTTCTGACAGACAACTTCCAATTCCAATTTTCAAATGTACTCATTTTTTAAAAATTCAATACTTAACACAAAAACTTGTCAAAAACAGGCTGAGCTTAAATGGGGTGCCAAAAACAATGTATATGTCCCTTACATACAGTGATTAAAGTTACTTCTTCTCATGTCCCACTCTTTAAAATTCTGAATCCATCTCTGTTTAGTATACACACTTTGTATATTATAATTAAATACTGTCTTTGTGATATGCTATTTTAACCATGCATGTTATTCTCTTGAAAACTATGCAGAGCTATTGTATATACCTGGGTAATAACATTTTAGCATTTTGTTAATAAAGTGGAGTTCTCTTGAAAACTATGCAGAGCTATTGTATATACCTGGGTAATAAATTTTAGCATTTTGTTAATGAAGTGGAGTTAATAAACCAGAGCTTCTTTTCATGCAAAATGAGTTAAAAAAAATACTTAAAGCTAAAGCAATATAACTTAATAAATAATGCATGATCATTATTAATAAATAATTATCATCATGGTTTCTCAGATACAAATCAAATGGAAATACAGTATTCCATGTATTTGTCACAGCTGTTTCATTTGAGTCATGCATAGATAACTGGTTACTATAGTAACAAACATCTTAGCATCAACAGAATAGTAATGAAACAGCGAATTTGCTTGAATGAGAAAATAATTAAAAGAAAAGAATATAATCTTATACTTTACGTGACCTATATATACTCTCATTTAATTATTAAAAGATTATTGCAAAAGCACCATTATACAGTATAAAATACACAAAATTTAGAAAATATTTGTTATAAATTAATGTAAGATAATGAACTACACAAGACAGATAAAAAAAAATCTACAAGCAACAAATGCAACAATTGAATATAAAATCACCAGAAATATGAATACTGGTATTATTAGTAAAAACTGTTACCAAGACAAGCTATTGTGTACATGTCTATCAACATCTTTTTAAAAAGTAATTTGAATATTAATATAATAATGGAAGTAATTTTTTTCCTAAATATAAAATATTTTTCTCATAATTAATAAGTACACATGAGTTTGCTTAGGTTGATGAAGGGTTGAACACAAACACCACTAGAATATTATGACATACACAACGTTCACATAAATAAAGGTTTTTATAACAATAGAGAGTTTTCGCAAGCTTACGAAAACGATAGCGAATACTGTTAAATCAGTCATTAAATTTTTAGACAATGCTTCACCTACAGTAACATGATTGTCACAACATAGGCAATTCAAGCCTTTTGCATGAATCAAGGATCCGATTCAGCTCGTACAATATTATCGTCAAGAATGCTTTAGGCATGAATGATGATAATGACAATAACGTATGCGTATTCGTTAACTTTTTCGTAAGGTTGCAAAATCTCCCAATATCTGTTAATGTTCAACCAAAAAGTAAATATGAATATTCAAAGCAGTAATTAATGCACATTTACATATTCTAATAGTAAGCAAATGAATAGTAAACAGAATGATCTGAGGTATGTAAGGTTGCTACATGAAATATATTTATATTATTATTTGCATAAAAATATTTAATAGTACACAATTTGAAATTAATATGAATAAGCTTACAAGAATATAAATTATAAAATGGAAGTGCTGGTAACAGTTTGAATTGATGCAAATGTATCATGCTTATTGGCTGAAAAGTCAATTCTAATTTGCATAGATCTTGAGGGGTATGTTCTTAGTGCATTTATATTTATGTTAATAATCACTAAGTCTCAAGTTTTAAAGTGAATTCTTAAAATTTAAAATCCATTCTTATATATTATAGTAATTAATCCACATCATGCAGCATTTATTGTTAAATATTAATCATAAAAAGCAAAATATCATTAGGGGTGCCTTCCATTTAATCTAAAATGCTAAATTAGTTTTGATAAATTATTATTGATAGTTATAGATTTCTACAAGCAAATAATATAAATGATGCATTTCATAGCCATTGAAGTAGCATGGTTAAATAAAGTGCTTATAACAATACCTAGGAGTGCAGTCTTAAAAGCAGTGAAATAAACAACTAAAAGAATTACTAAATGGATGGAACTACACTTTCATGAACTACAAAAAAAGACTAATGCAACAAACAGAAGTTGAAAATAATGAATTGATGGGTAAGAAAATTGGAAAAGACATGGACATAAAGTCATGAACTATGACCAAAGGGCTACATGGAGATGACACCAGTTAAGCAGAATCATGCGCTCAGGCAGATAAGGTACAACTTTTTGCTTTAAAATTATAAAAAATTAATATATTTTTTACTATTTTTATACAGTTCCCCCCAATCTATTTGAAAACCTATTTCTCAAAATGCCATCAATAGCCATTATGTGCTAGAAAATAATTTTAGTATTCAATTTATGATGAAGGGATTAGATTAAATATCTGCCATCTTCAATCATCTGTGATAACTGATGTGAAAGAACTTTAAGCACGCCATGGAACAGAAGTGACATTGCAAACTTTACCAAGGCGTTCTTGAAAGCCCTATCTTTCTCATTCTTTGTTGCCCCCTTCCCCTTCCATACAAAGATTCCTGAAGGGCCTTGATCGACGATGAAACAATCCTGGAAAAACAAAACAAAAATGTTACACAAACCACTTGTGAGCATAAATATTGGTGACATGTTTGAGACAGCCTAGTGCAAACTCTGCATTTGCAGCAACGGGCTACCTAACAACTGCAACAATGGTATGTACTGTTTGGTACCCTTTTTAAACATTTGGAAGAGCGTAATGCTGCCTCGCTATAAATTGTAGAATTGACAGACCTTTGAGTTGAGTGAATCTTGACTGAGTGGTGGTCCGCCAATCTCCGTGACAACCAGTGAGCCAGACTCATCAGTAACCCTAAAAATGAGAATGATATGAAGTTTTAAAAATATGAATAATTATGACATTTTTTCTGCCTCAGTAAGATTTTATTAAAGCAACTCATCATTATTGGATTTATTGTTTTTGTTTATCTCTGATTCTGGGTATTTTGTACCCTATGGAAAAGGCACGAGGCTAAATGTGCGATCATTACATGACATTAGTGCCATCAACATACTTGTAGAGCTTGGTGTTGGCTTGAAGCTTCCTTGAGAACTTCTCATCATCACCCCCAGCACTAGCAGAAGCAATAGATCCTTTCTGGCCCCCAAGAGCAGCAAGGGCAACTGGGTTTATTTCCTTCTGGGCTCCGTTTAATACTTCGATGTGGGCCCTGCCACCTCTTTCATCATCTCGAATACTCTGGGCAACCTCAATACCCTAAAAATAAAAGGTGTTGAAATTCATTTAACAGTTTGATAAATAAGATAAAAGAATAAATTGAGTTGACAACAGTATAAACAAATTAGAGTACCAGTAAATGAACAGATGATAAGGAGATGTGGCAAGGGTGGAAAATGAATAAACGCATTATTTAACTGTATTAATAAAGAAAGAAATAGTAAAAGTAGATGAGTAGATAAATTAATGAGTAGATGAGTAACTTAAACAGATGATGATTGAAAGGATAACTATATTGAATGGATGACTAGACAAGTTCTGAATGTAATTATTAATAATACCTTCATTTTCTCCTTCCTGTTGCTCTCAGTTCCATGCCAAACGAAGATTTGTTGACCTAAATCCAGAATAAAGACATCTCCTTGATTCAGAGATGCCCACTCCAGAGCAACCTAGCAAAGTAAACAAAATAATATATTATAAAATAAAGTTGTGAATAGTATGTTAAAGTGTCCAACTTCCAAGCACAGAGTTTGGGTTAAAGATTAAAAGATTAAAGATTAAACTTTTTTGTCCAATTTGAGATTTATCTTTGTATAAGTGCAATTGTGATGTAATTTAACTGATGTTTTTGTATTTTTACACCAAATGGAACATGAATTTCCACATATTTCATGGACAATAAAAGTTTATCTTATATTATCTTTATATTATCTTAATTCCAAATATTTGAAATTGGAAATTTTGGCTTGACCAGTGGGGACCCGACACCGCCACAGTAGAGTACCAGCATATATTTCGCCTAATTTTAAGCAATTTTTAAGTTAAATCAATATTGATAAATTTGACTTAAGCAAAAAAATGGACTTAAGATGAATTTATAGTTTGATAAATCCGGCCCCAGAACACTACCACTTTTGGCCAAACACTCAAAACATGAAGTACGATACAACAAACTTTATTTTACTCAAAATCAAGAATCAAATTGAAGTTGAATGCTACATAGTATTTTTTTGGTAATGGATGAAAATTAATTGCTTAAAAGAATTTGTTCACATACTGGTATAACACGGACATTCCTCTTCCCTTTCACCTTCAGGAGTCTCTTCTCAAATTTGGTGCGGTCAACATGTTTGAAGCCAGACTTGATTCCTCCAGTTTGATAGCTAATAAATTCATTTAATGAAAATAAAAATGCTAAATAAATTTGAATCATTCTTTTTTAGTTGCATATCGTTACTGACAACAGCTTCATCATTTATATAATAATGTCACATTTCTTTTATTACACTGTATACCTCTATTTCATCAAGGTTACAGTGCCTACTTATTACTCCCCATGGATTACAAATTGTTATGCATTATCCTCTCCTCTCCTAGGAGCATTCCTAGTCTCTGCAGTTACTTAAGCAGAACAACATTATATATAATTCATATTTACCAGGTAACAGACAATAACTTATACTCCTGGGTGAAATAAAACATAATATTAACTAGGCCTACTCACCGGATACCTTTTTTGAAGTATGAGATAAAAAGTTGGCCTTCATGTTCTTGAACCTCACGATGTTGAACAGGACTTCCTCCAAGATGATCATCTAACTCAACTGTTTTATATGCTGCCACACCGGCTTCATCCTAATAATTAAATATAAGGCTAAATTTATAGTAACATATATTAAACAGGCAATCCCGGTGAGTTGAATGTCCAAGCGATTAAGGCAGGGGCATGGCAACCTACAGTCATAATATTGGCGCTGGTTCGTGCTGCGCACTCGCCTATGATTCTGGTGGTGGACGATAAGGACGATAAACTATAGGCCCGAGTGTACACAATTGTCTGATGTGCAATTTAAAGAACCCAGTACATCTTATCGAGACGAGTAGGGGTTATCCCAGTATACTAGTTGCTACAGCAACTGCTGTAAACAGACGAGAGTAGCTGGTACCGGTGGCAAAAATGAATGCACTGCACAGATGTTATTGCATAATATTTTGCTATTTTTTTTCTCTTAAGTACAAATAAAGTGAAAGGGCAACAAAGTTAACTAAATTAAGCAACAATATCATTAAGTAACATCCTCATATAAACAAATACTATAGAAATGTTATTGTTACTTGACCCTATAAAGATGAGAGAGTTATTAAGGACCTCTTTATCTTCTTCCAGTACTCTATTGTGTTTTTACCGCATACAAAAATATAAAAACAGTGAGAAGGAAGGCATTACTATGTGCTCCATGCTAGATCCCTTATTAATTTTTATAAACAATTATTATAGAAATATTATTGTTACTTGACCTTATAAAGATGACTGATAGAGTTAAGAACCTCTTTATCCTCTTCCAGTACACTATTGTTTTCCCCAATTTACAGAAATATAAAAACAGTGAGAAGGAAAGCATTTACTATGTGCTCCATGCTAGATCCCCATTAATTTTGATCTTAATTATTATTAATATTAAGGTTAAATAATTAAACTAAGGTAATAAACAATATCAATAAAATTGTAACTGTTTAAGATACTTACATTAGATGTTTCTCGGCCTAGCCAGAAGTGAATATTCCATTCAAAACCACTTCCAACCTTGCGAGTCTACAAGAAAAAATAATAATTTAATAATAACCCCTGTAGTTTAAAGGTAATTTAAAATTAATCTTCTACTGATGATCAAACACTTGTGCTTTTCAAGTGAACAATCTGTGCAAGCTATGACCTAAATGCATATTTACTATATTTTTACTATAAGTTCAAAGCTCCAATCAATTTTAATCAGGGCCAATAAAGAATAAACAGCTTTTAACTTATAGACCTCACTATATAGCGCTTAAAAATTCCCATCCATTATGTAATAACCATTGTATGGATTCTGCAAATCAAAAACTCAATTGAAATGTAATTATAATTAAATCAAGAGTGCTGCCAGGTAAATATATTCAATATTTCTCACCTCCTTGAAAATGATAGGGAAAAAATAAAGGAAAACATGATTGGTGTATATACTTATGTTCATGTTTAGACTGTTTAAAATGAAGACTATTTTAGGATTTGAACAAGGCCGAATGATTAAAATATATTATTTTAATAGGTGCCATTAATTCTAAAATTAAACTGGTCTTGATACATGTGGCACTAGATGAGAGATGCAATTTGAAATGAATCAAAATGAAAAATGAAGAGCAGGTGTTTTTAAGACAGGGCTTTGTTGCTCTCTTTAAGAAATACTCCTACTACGATTAAGCATGTTCTACTTTTAGTAGTACGTTTAAATTTATAATGAAGCTTTTATTTTATTGTCATATATTCAATATAATTCACATCAAATCACAATTACCAGGTGACTTTAATTATTTTCAAAAAAATAATCTACATTTTATTCTCCTTCAACAGTAACTGCAATATAATGTCAACATTTTACTTTCTCATTCAACAGTAAGGGGTCATCCATTATTTTCATCTTTTTTCATAAAACATAGCTCTTTTCTCTGCTCTCCCCCTTGCCCCCTGAAAGAGTACACAATAAAATGATTTTTGTCATTTGAAGATCATCCTTTTCATGAAAGAGTACATATGCCTCCAACCACTTTCTTTGCCCACAAAGCGTATGTTATGTACTCTTTTGAAAATGATGAAATTTATGGGTGGCCCTAACTGTGTTATGTCAACATTCCAAAGAAACAATCTACAAACAACATAATGCTATATCTAAAACAGTTTACCATTACTATTATATACAAAAATGCATTATCTTTCAAATGTTGAGAGTTCATAAGTTATCGTATATACTGTATAAACAAGACTTCCTGCTTCTGTTTATTTAACATTCAAAATGTATAAGCTACCTATTTTCTATATTCTAAATATCTTTCAGAACTACCAATATATTATATCCTACATGCTATTAATGTTAACCTTTTCCAATGCAATCTGTGAAATTCATTTGCATAGACATCATAAATCCCATTTATATCTACCAATAATTATAACTTCTAGAATACATTTGATATTTATTTTTTTAATTTCTTCAGTAAAATATATAACAATTTATCCATGAGATATTGCAGAGTATTGTGACGGTAGGACGTGTGGTTCGTAACGGTGTTGCTAAGTAATCCAGGTAGCTATAATTTGAGCGTGACGTGTGCATAATCGAGGGATGCCTTAGAAATACACCTGCCCTAATTCTATTTAATTAACAATAGTTCGGTGACGTTAATTTATGCAAACATGTGTGATGCGAGTTGCATTGTATAGGAAATACAGTTAGGTTGGTCACTGGACAGAAAGATCCCTTACCCGGCGGATCAGCACTGTTTGTGTGGAAAGGCATATGTTAGCCAATGCGGAATGGTACTGCGTGTAGTGCGAGATTGGTTCCCTGGTAGATTGGTGTTATACTTTTCATCGTGGTTTTATGAGTATGTTATCATGCCGAGGTGTTAATCTGTCCAGTCACCCACGTAATTGTATATATTTTGAACCCTTCTAATGTAATCGCTTAGAGGTCGCTGGAGTATCAAGAATCGTATCATAGTCTCATCCGTAATTTTCTCATGGAGTTTTAGCACTGGATAGCTACTGGAATATAAACCGTAGTTGAGAACGGAAGTCCGTCTACCGATTATAAATGCTTAACAGCGAACTTGGACATTGTATCTTTTCTCGTATAATTATTAACATATATATTGATATAGCCCATATATGGTATTATTCTATTGCTAATTGGAATAATTATTAATGTATATTCATATATTGATATAGCCCATGGATGGTATTATTCTATTGCTAATTGGAATAATTATTAATGTATATTCATATATTGATATAGCCCATACATGGTATTGTTCTATTGCTAATCAGAATAATTATTAATGTATATTCATATATTGATATAGCCCATGTATGGTATTATTCTATTGCCACTCGGAATAATTGTTGATGTGTACTCATATATTGCCTATGTATGGTATTAACTGGCCACTCAGTTATAGTGAGTTATGATTCGTCTTGGTGAACGTAATAATTTATTTTGTGAGACGTTAAAATAGTTTGTTTGGTTCAGAAAACATAACGATTTGTTTTGGATTACAGGGTATACTTGAAAATGATAATTTCGTCTGTAATGTAAGTAATAAATTAGGTTTAATATTTTCTAGTACTAGCATTATTGACAGCTCCCGAAACTGGTCTCTCCTATTGTTTAAAGAAGCGTTCGCTATACGTAGACTACACCCTTTGC